GAGTTCAGATCCCAGCAATCATGAAAAAGTTGGGCCTGGTATCTTGCATGTGATTGCAACCCCAGCCTTGGAGTGGACACAACCGGCGAGCAATTCAGTGTACTTCAGGGTTAACGAGAGACCCTGTCTCAAACAATAAAGGTGGAGTGATTGAGTCGCTAGTGTCTGTATAACACACACACACACACACACACACACACACACACACACACACACACTTTTTGCATGGGGGGGAAACTAGGAAAAATGAATTTCAAAGGATACTGTGAGCTCCTACACATCCGGCTATGTGGAGGATGAAGCTTGGAGAAGGACAAGATTCATAAGCCCAGGCTACTTTTAGGGCCCAGAGTAGGGCACCCAACAGAGCTCCTGTATTCATAAAGGCCTCTCCTTACCCCAAAATACATTTCCACTATCCCAGAGAGCCATGCTCTTCCACCTGTCCTGTCTTCCTTGTGACTAGCTTGCTAGACTTTCATCACACGGTCAAAAGGCAAGTTCACAGCTGAGGACCTGCTCTTCACTGTGGGACTAAAGAGGCCCATTGTCTTAGCTTGGGTTTCTATTGCTATGAAGAAACCCCATGAGCATGGCAACTCCCCCCCCCCCCTCGGAGCTGAGGACCAAACCCAGGGCCTTGCGCCTGCTAGGCAAGCGCTCTACCACTGAGCTAAATCCCCAACCTGGCAAGCATGGCAACTCTTAAAAAGGAAAACATTTAATTAGGGCTAGCATACAGTTTCAGAGGTTTAGTCCATTATCATCATGGCAGGAAACATGGCAGTATGTAGGCAGACATGGTGCTGGAGAAGGAGCTGAGACTTCTACATATTGATCTGCAGGCAACAGGAAGTGAACTATGTCCCTGAGCATAGCTTGAGCATAGGAGATTTCAAAGCCCACCCCCACAATGACACACTTCCTCCAACAAGGCCACACCTACTTCAACAAGACCACACCTCCTAATAGTGTCACTTCCTTTGGGGGCCATTTTCTTTCAAACCACAGTACCCGTCATACCCTTGAGTGGACTGTAGCATCCTCTTTGAACCTGCAGCATCTGGATTTGTTAGGGCTGTGGAAGTGAACCAGTCTGGGTGACAGAAAAGCCTGGGTCGAGACATCTGTTCAGAACATTTGTCTAGGATGTGTCAATTTCCTGAGGAAGTGCACCATGTACCCTCAGAGACTGACTGTAAATAAGACGGAAAGGAAAGCCTGGTCTCCAAGACCAGGTGAGTCTTGCCTTGAGTTGGAATCTAAGCCCATCACTCAGTGAGGTTAGCAACTGTGCATGGTTGAATGAGCACATGTGTTAGCTGCTTGCCCGGAGAGGGTGTCATCCTGGAAAAGGGTGCCATTCTGGAAAAGGGTGTCATCCTGGAAAAGGGTGTCATCCTGGAAAAGGGTGGCATCCTGGAAAAGGGTGTCATTCTGGAAAAGGGTGTCATCCTGGAAAAGGGTGTCACCAGAGCGCCTGCTTCTCAGGGTTGTTCTAAAATGGCGCATTTGAAGGGCTTGACCGTGTCCCTCATGCCCAGCAGACTCTGAGGATTACCGTGTCCACGTCTGAGTTCCAGACGGCACTTCTGAAGTGACTGGTGTTCATTGTCACCTTGACTAGGTTTAGAATCGCCATGGAAACACACCTCTGGGTGTCCATGAAGGTGTTCCCAATAGGTTTGGTTGAGGAAGGAAAACCCACCCTCCATGTGAGCAACGATTTTGTGGCCTGCGATTGCAGGTGGGATGAAAAGAGAAAGGAGGGGCCAGCTGAGGACCAGAATCCATCTCTCCGCTTCCCGACTGCAGATCCAGCATGGCCAGGCACCTCACACTCCTGCCACCATTCTGTCCCCATCGGGATGGACTGTCCCCTCAAACCATGGCCCTCAGTCATCTCTTCCTCTCTCAGGTTGTTTTTTGGATGGTGTTTTCTCACAGCAATGATAAGATGAACTAATGCAGCTTCTACTGTTTGCTGGGTCAATGTCAGTAGCTCCCAAGTGACAGCTATTTGGGCCCATGATGTTATTTCTTTATAAAAAAGGCATGGTGGCATATGCCTGCAATCCCAGCATGTGGGAAGTAGAGGCAGGAGGACCAAGAGTTCAAGGTCATCCTTGGCTACAAAGTGAGTTTGATGTCAACCTGGACTATATTAATAAAACCAAATCCCAAACAGAAACAAGGAAATTTCTAAGGAGTGTGAAACTGTACCAGAAACTATGAAACCACTGACAAAGTGACCTAAAACAGGGTGAGTAAGGTTGGGCAGGTTGGTCGTTATCAAAATGTATGTGGCCCTTGCATAAGAAACTTTAGCGTGACAGGGGAAGTCATCATAAATGCAGGTTCTCAGGCTTCGTATTAGAAAAATCTATTGAATTAAACTCCTGAAGAGACATTTGAAGGAACCTGAGTTTCAGCTGACACTCTAGGTGATTCCAACACACAGAAAGACTCAAGGACCATCAAACTAGATGAGCATGCCAAGACGAAACTGGACCACAATAGATTACCAGTGGAGGACACAGCAAAGAGGCATAATGAGGGACCAAAGAAGGATGAAGCAACGTGCACTTAATAGAGAGGAAAGCTCTCAGAGCACCTGTGGGAATACGTGTTGCCAAGGCTACATCTCCATGCTGAGCACCACAGGAGAAGATGCTAGAGAGAGAGAGAGAGAGAGAGAGAGAGAGAGAGAGAGAGAGAGAGAGAGAGAGAGAGA